TCCTCTGTCCCTGGGGTTCTCCAGGCAAGAACACTGGAGTGAGTTGCCATTTCCTTTTCCAATACATGCATACATGCTAAGTCGCTTCAGTCGTGTCTGACTCTATGCAACCCTATGGACAGCGGCCCACCAGGCTCCTCTGTCCACAGAATTCTCCCAGCAAGAATGCTGGAGTGGGCTGCCATTTCCTTCTCCAAAGGAAGGCAGCAAACACAATTAAGTAGATTTAGAAAAGATCATAACAATTTGAAGCCATTTGGGTCAACTTCTGTGTGTGTGTGTGTTGTGTTGTATTATCTTTCTTCTTCTCTGGCGTGGTAATGCATCTGTCCTTTCTTAAATAAATTGTGGGTATTATTTGTTCTTAGCCTAGCTTACCCTACCTTTAGTGACTCTCGGAATAAAAGAGAAGTAAGGCATTTTTCCTACCTTGAGAGCTTTTCTGGTATCATTATAGTTCACATAAAAATCTATGCAGTTATTCTTTTTAAACAGAGTCTGATTTTTATAAATGATTGATTGATCTCTTTAGGCACAGACAGTATAATTCCCAGCTCATGTTTTCCATTTGATAGTGTATTGCCTCATTTCATTCAGCGCATTAAACATTGATTAGCTTTCTCCACGATGTGATCCTTTGGTCTGTAATTAATTCATCTATTTGACCAAGGAGAATAGGACTGAGTAGAGACAATAAAGAATAAGTTAATTAGCACCTCTCCCCATCTTAATAACCAATGAGTTTCAAAATTAAGTTTCAGACCTGTGACCTAAAGCCTCCTTTTGAATCAAGCCTTGAGCAGGTCTGAGTGTGGCTGAATGTGGTTACAGGTGTGGGGTGGGGCAAGGACAGGGTAGTAGTGGTAGGGATTCTGCCAAATTCTTTAGAAGCTTTTTCCAAGGCTACCATAAAGCTGAAGTTTGTATTAGAACAACTGACTGTTTCCTTGAATATAGAGGACATGGAAGTTGAAAGGGGAATCAATTTACACTCCATAAAACAAGATTTATTGAAAGCCTTATTTTACATTCCCCCCGCCCAAATCCCATCTTTGCATCTGTTCCTGTCTCCTTCATATAAAATTTTTAAAATGCTTTCAGTATCCTGACTGCAGCTCTCATCCTTTCTGTCCTTTTAGTCTGTTTCTCCTCCAGTACAGTCTCTTCATATCCTTTCTTATGCTAATGGTTCTTGTCTCTTTCATAACTGTAACAGCTTACTATTTTTCAGGCACCATGCTCAATATTTCACATATATTGTTGAACCCCTGCAACAATTTTATTATCCCTGTTTTCACATGAAGAAACTGAGGCTTTGAGAGGTCAAGTGACTTACCCAAAGCCACACGTCATCTGAGTTCTAGAGGTGGGACAAGATCCCAGTCATATCTAGGTATAGCCAAGGTTTCCAGTCCAAGTTCTCAGATTCTCTGTGATGACGTATGTTCTTTATAGAACTTTTCAAAGAAACAAAACATAGAAATATGCCTTTTAAAGCATCCATGCTATCCAAATCCACAAAGAAACAGAGATGAAACTTTGTTATCTTTCCTTCCAGTATTTTTTAATACATAATAAAGAGATTTTTAAAAAATTGAACACAATCATTTGATGATCATTTTTTTTTAATTTTATTATTGGGGCATAATTGCTTTACAGTGTCATGTTAGTTTCCGCTCTACAACAAAGTGAATCAGCTGTGTGCATGCACACATTCCTTCCCTCTTGAGCCTCCCTCACACCCTACCCACATCCCGTCCCTTCAGGTCACCGCACGGCACTGTGCTGAGTTCCCTGTGCTATCCAGCCGTTTCCGTCTAGCTATTTATTTTAGACATGGTAATGTTTACGTGTAGTGTATAGTGTCATGGTAATGTATATGTGTCAGTGCGACTCTGCCGATTTGTCCCCTCCTCCTCTTCCCCCATCTGTGCCACATGTCCATTCTCTACATCTGTGTCTCTATCCCTTCCTGGCAGATAGGTTCATAATGAATTAAAATTCTTTAAAAAATGTATAAAAATCACAAATCTTATTCACAACTGAACATACTTTAATACCTATGAAAGAGGGTAGATATTACATATTATTTTAAATATCTTCAATGCAGAATAAATAATTTTTAAGTATTATTTGACTTTCAGTGATGCCATATCATATTTCAGAATATTTGTCTAGTGCAAATTTTAGATTAGATTTTGTGGACTTGTTAGTGATGAAATGTTCTTTTTGTTTCTAAGACATATTTACTAATAGCAAGGAAATGTACCAGAATATCCAAAGAAAATTGTTAAAATTTTTTTTTTTAATTCTGGGCTCCCCTAGTGGCTCAGATGGTAAAGAATCTGCCTGTAATGTGGGAAACCCAAACCCATGTTCAACCCCTGGGTTTGGAAGATCCCCTGGAGAAGGGAATGGCAATCCACTCCAGTATTCTTGCCTGCAGAATCCCATGGGCAGAGGAGTCTGGCAGGCTACAGTCCATGGGGTCGCAGAGTCAGATACCACTGAGCTATTGAGCACCATCACTTTGTGTGACAGACACTATTCTGAGTCTTACATAAGTTCATTTATTCAACCCTCTCAAGCAGATTATCATCAAAATATTCTTTCTGACTCAAGATATTTGTAACAAAGGATAAAAATAGACCCCACAGACAGTTAAAGGAAAAATCATAAAAGATACCAATTAAAAAAATTTTCAAGTGACATGAGTTGGAAATTCACAGAAGAAAAGCAATATGGAATGGTTAATAAACACAAAAGTAGATCTTTCATAAATAATTAAAGAAGTTCAAATTTGTATAACCACAAGTTACCATTTTTTCTATTATAAAATGAGCACAGTTAGAAAATCATTAAAAGTATCGATAAAGATACAGTTGACCCAAACACCAATGGTAGAGATGTAATTGTTTCAGCAATATGTATACAGATATTTTGTTTTTAGCTGTTAAGCATTTAATTATACCCAATGAATTTATTTTAAAGTGACCTTGATATTTAATAGAGAAAATATTAAAATCTTTAGAAATATTATGAACTGTATAGTAATTGGTTTTTCAAATTGAAAACAATCTAGACCCTTTGAACCATATGTGTAAATAAACACATGGTGGATCAAGATTTTAATTATTTAAAAAAATTTTAAAGTTAGTAAGATGAAAGAGAAATACCTCAATGAGACACACAATACAAATTATAAAGGTAAAAATTGATACTTTGACTATAAATTTTTGAAAACCCATATTANCCCCTCACATTCCTTTTTTTTTTTTTCCTCAAACAGTTAACCTTGAGTAACTTTGTATCAGCTTAAGCTCCAGAAAAAGACCTAACTGGATTGGAATCCTGTTGCTGTTGTCACCAACATTGTGACCTTGCCAGTAAAATTTCATTGGTGTAAAATGAGAATCAATGCTTCATAAATGGTTTGACTTAAATACAAGCAAACAAGTGAAGTGACACCAATGATATGATATGGCACATAGTAAACCCTTTAAATTTTTCAATTTCCATCCTGTTTACATTCAACAAATTCTGGAGCACATCTTGAACCCACCTATCAATAGCTGCAGCTCTCTTGTGTATGATCTGTTACAGTTTAACATATGTCCATTTATTTATATGTTTGGTTACTCTCTTCACTAGGCATGTTATTCTCTTTTCATTGGAAACTAAAATTCAAAACAGTTGAAGTGACTCGACCATGGTCACACAGATGATACACAGCTGCGATGCAAATCCAAACCTCCTGACTGCTAGTCCGGTGTTTTTTTGGGGGGTTGTGTTTTTTTTTTGGTTTTTTTTTTTTTGGTTTTTTTTAGTGCACTAAAGCTGCCAACTTTGTCCACGTGTTTAGGAAAAAAAAACATCTGATTTAGGCTGTGATTTCCTCACCCCAACATTTGACAATTAAGGATTCCACTGTATACAAAAGGAAAAAATTGAGTAGAGTTTGAATAGCTATAGCATCCAATTTTTTTTTTTAATGTCAGTCCCTCCCTTCTATGGAAAGCTATGTTTTAAGATATGATTAGTATGCTGAGCATAGGGTGATGGTAAACATTATGTTTTTGCATTATCATGAGATGACAAAATTACCCACTCTCAAAGGACCAGCTGCTGCAGGGTGACTGGCACCCGTGATGCCTACATTCTCAAAACTATTTTAACTGGTAGTTTTCCATGATTTTTTTTAGTCAGAGAAGAAATGTATGTGTAAACCTTTTAAAGCCATAGCATCTGTTATGATGAAAGGACACCCTGGAATCTTAGTGAGATTGTTCTAGCTCAAGAATTTGAAGCTAATTAAGATTCTTATTGAACCAAGAGTCCTGTAACTCACTTCCTCAAACAGACAGAAAAATTATGAACAAAAAAGGTAGGAAAATTCTTCCCATGCTTTTTATATAATATTTAGACTACATGTTATCATTTTAAATTGATGTGCACAACATACATGAAACTGTTCACTACATTAGATGTATATGTCCTAAAAGGAAAGAACAAATTTTGAAATAGGAAGACGTAAGATCATACCCAATCTCTAATCAAATTGCTCACAACTTTAGACAAAGAACTCAACCACTTGGAACAGCTCTCCTTTGTGTCACGTGGATAGTAGATCTTCCACAAGATTTTGGAAGAAATCCAGAAGTTAAGGATATTATAAATCAGCAAATTATGCACTGCTGGGGTGGGTGGGATGAACTGGGAAAATGGGATTGACCTATGTGACTACCCCATGTGGGATGTAGTCGCAATCAGAGTGGACTGGAGTTCAGGACAGTAGCGTGGTCAATGTTGGGAAGACTGGGAAGGCTGAGGGGTTCAAGGTTTTCTTGATTTCCTTCATATGAAGCATTTCTTCCAAATATAAATATGTTTAAATTGCCAATGTGCTTTGCTTCCCCACAGCTTCAGGTTAGATGGTCATAATATTCTTCCAGAAATTCTCTTGGACACTCCTGACTTTTACCCATCTTCATTTTTTTCAGGGTCAATGATTGTATCTTACGGGTGAATGAGGTGGATGTGTCAGAGGTTTCCCACAGTAAAGCGGTGGAAGCGCTCAAAGAAGCAGGGTCTATCGTTCGGCTGTACGTGCGTAGAAGACGACCCATTTTGGAGACTGTTGTGGAAATCAAACTGTTCAAAGGGCCTAAAGGTAATGAAACATGAACAACTCACAATAGGATACCAGTGACAAACTATTTGATTAAAGCTTATGTCATAACCCACCCACAATGTACTCTGTTCTTTTTTTTTTTTTTTTTACTCTGTTCTTTTATTCTCTGACGTTCAGTGTTTACCAGGAGATTTGAAATCCAATGATGATGGAATTTTACAGAAAGTAAAAAAAGCCAATACTGTAACTATGAACTCAGAGAAGTAAGCGATAGATTTCTAAAGAAATATTCTCATAAACAAAAACAACAAAAACCATCTAAATTTTTCTATAAATTTTTAGCCTTATCAGATCATCCTGACTTAGCTGGCATGTTAATACTTTCTAACTTTTCAAATGTAAATGGTAATCTCCCTCCTTTAATAAAATAGTAATGTGAAAAGTAATAATTTGAATAGTCTATCCTGAAATAATTATTATGTTTTATGACACTTGTGATTTGTTTTGATTTGGTGATACTTTTACCCATTTTATTTAATAAGTACTACGTGGCATTTTATACTTGCAGTAGTCAAAATAAGTTAAAATTTATTTTTTTGAAATGTTCACAAAGCTCTTGAGGTAACTGCATTTACTTTGGGGAATCATATGGACAGTGAGAAGAATCATATGAATTTCTAAGAAGAAAACTTTGAGCTCTGCTCTTCAGAAATGATAACATTTAATATTAATAGTATTTCAGGTATTTTATAAAAATCTGTTAGCTTAAAAGTACTTAATTATTTTAAAAGATTGTGACTAGAGAGGCACTATAGTCTTTTAGTAAATTATTTCTCTTTCCCTTAAAATCTGTGTAATCTCTAACGCTATTATTTTTGTCATTGCTTAGTCTCTAATTGTGTCTGACTCTTTTGTAATTCCACAGTAGCCCACCAGGTTCCTCTTTCTATGGGATTTCCCAGGCAAGCATACTGGAGTGGGTTTCTATTTTCTTCTCCAGGGGATCTTCCCAACCCAGGGATCAAGCCCACATTTCTTGCATTGGCAGGCTGATTCTCTACCACTGAGCCGCCAAGGAAGCCCTCTAATGCTATATCTGATTTAAAAAAAAATAAGCATACAACCTTCTCTGGGAGGTACTAGTGGGTGGTATTTAAGATCTCAGACCCAACAGTCAGGCAGGCTGGAGTTTAAAAGCCTAGCTCAGCCACTTACTAGCACAGTGACATTGGTTAGACCAGCCCCTCTTATTTTTAAATGGGGATTGTGATGGTAGCTTCCTGGCACTACCATAAAGGGGCCTCCCCTAGTGTCTCAGACAGTAAAGAATCTGCCTGCAATGCAGGAGACCCTGGTTTGATCTCTGGGTCTGGAAGATCCCCTGCAGAAAGAAATGGCTACCCACTGCAGTATTCTTGCCTGGAGAATTCCACAGACAGAGGAGCCTGGTGGGCCACAGTCCATGGGGTTGCAAAGAGTTGGACGCATCTGAGTGACTAACACTTGAACTTTTAATGGTAGCATCCCATTGGATTTATGAAAATTAAATATCTAATATCTGGAGAGTACAGAGCAGGAAAGCTTGCTGGTTGAGTGCAAACTCCAAAGTATCTAAGCTGGAACCCTGGCTTGGCAGTTCACTAGCCATTTGATCTTGGTCAAATTTCTTAACCTCTCTGAGCCTAATTTTCTTATCTACAAAATGCAAATAATACTAGCACTTGCCCCTTGAAATACTGTGAGGATTAAATGAGTCAATATACATTAATTGTTTAGAGTAGTACCTGGCACAAATTGACAACAAATATTCACTATATATATGTGAATGTGTGTGTGTATTAAGCGCTTAGTCATGCCTGATTCTTTGCATGGACTGCATGCCCAGCAGGCTCCTGTATCCATGAGATGGATTTTCAGGGCAAGAATACTGGAGTAGGTAGCCGTTTCCTTCTCCAGGAGATCTTCCCAACGCAGGGATTGAACCAGTCTTCTGCATGCCAGGCAGATTCTTTACCCACTGAGCTACCAGGGTAGCCACATATATGTCATTTGTAGTTTGCTACATATGGTTTCAGCCTTGACAATTGTTTGGTAATCTAATAAAAGAACCCAATTGCCTCATGTGTTAAATCCAAATGCACTAAAATCACAGAATTAATTTGAGTGTGGGGAGAGTAAAGCATTTCCACACCAATGTCTGGTAATATGTAGGAAAAGACTTTCTATTCTACACATTTTCATATTTGCCATGTGTTTTAAAGTTAAAACTAATAAGCATTCACTATTTAAATTTAAAATATCTGCTAAAATAACAGGTAGGTACTTCTACAATTCAGTTGACAGCAATTGTTCAGCACAGCCTTAAGGCAAATCCCAGTTTCAAGCACTCAGCAAAGCATTACCATCCATTAGCAGACCTCCTGCTAGCTGAGTCATTCCACGACCTCGAAGAATTCCACAGACAGAGGAGCCTGGTGGGCCACAGTCCATGGGGTTGCAAAGAGTTGGACGCATCTGAGTGACTAACACTTGAACTTTTAATGGTAGCATCCCATTGGATTTATGAAAATTAAATATCTAATATCTGGAGAGTACAGAGCAGGAAAGCTTGCTGGTTGAGTGCAAACTCCAAAGTATCTAAGCTGGAACCCTGGCTTGGCAGTTCACTAGCCATTTGATCTTGGTCAAATTTCTTAACCTCTCTGAGCCTAATTTTCTTATCTACAAAATGCAGATAATACTAGCACTTGCCCCTTGAAATACTGTGAGGATTAAATGAGTCAATATACATTAATTGTTTAGAGTAGTACCTGGCACAAATTGACAACAAATATTCACTATATATATGTGAATGTGTGTGTGTATTAAGCGCTTAGTCATGCCTGATTCTTTGCGTGGACTGCATGCCCAGCAGGCTCCTGTATCCATGAGATGGATTTTCCGGGCAAGAATACTGGAGTAGGTAGCCGTTTCCTTCTCCAGGAGATCTTCCCAACGCAGGGATTGAACCAGTCTCCTGCATGCCAGGCAGATTCTTTACCCACTGAGCTACCAGGGAAGCCACATATATGTCATTTGTAGTTTGCTACATATGGTTTCAGCCTTGACAGTTGTTTGGTAATCTAATAAAAGAACCCAATTGCCTCATGTGTTAAATCCAAATGCACTAAAATCACAGAATTGATTTGAGTGTGGGGAGAGTAAAGCATCTCCACACCAATGTCTGGTAATATGTAAGAAAAGACTTTCTATTCTACACATTTTCATATTTGCCATGTGTTTTAAAGTTAAAACTAACAAGCATTCACTATTTAAATTTAAAATATCTGCTAAAATAACAGGTAGGTACTTCTACAATTCAGTTGACAGCAATTGTTCAGCACAGCCTTAAGGCAAATCCCAGTTTCAAGCACTCAGCCAAAGCATTACCATCCATTAGCAGACCTCCTGCTAGCTGAGTCATTCCACGACCTCAGTTGCTCAGCAGAGCACTTACAGGTTCTAGGGAATCAATAGCCAAAACTCCTTAATTTGATTGAGAACACATTATTTTGGATCTCTGTCTTTGGTGCCACAGCCCCCTCTGGCTGGTGTATTTCTATCTGAACTGTTTTCTCCTGGGAGCCAGGAGTGAAATAGCCCTGGGACAAAAAGAGGCGGGTGGGGAGACAGGTAAGCTTAAATCAACCAGGAATACCCAGGCAATAACCTAACGAAAGAACACAGCATATGGGTGATAGGCTTGTTCTACTGGGGAGAGGAGAGCCAGGAAACTGTTAGAGATAACTTTATACCCATGAAAGCAGGCTCCTGCCAAACTGCTGTAGAGGTTTGTGGACCTCTTGGTCCTGTTGAAATTCTGCTGGGTCTGTCCTACTTTTTTGTCCTGTCACCATACAAGTCACCAATGGGGATTTGTTTCTCTGTGTAAAGCTTATTGATTTACAGAGAAAGAAACTGTTTTAATCACCATTTGAATTCCTAATGCCTTTCCCTGAGCCTTGAAGGAAATGCTGAATCAGAGTAAATTGAATAATTAAGTTGGATTCTACACTGCATCTGATGATACCTTCCAGTCTTAACTTCCCTTGGTATCTCGCAATTCTTTATTTTTGAATGATGATCTATTTTTTTAAATTTCTGCCAGTGTTTAATCTTGTACTATGGAAACTCTTATGCAGTGGAGACAATGGAGATGAATCAGATGTGTTTCTAATGGGAGAGAGAAACATAAAGATAACTCACTTTAGTGCTAGACAGAATGAAATCAGCTCTGTGGTTGAACTTGAGCTGTGATTACAATTGAATCGAGCAGAGAGAAAGATGTGATTCATCTTAATCAGAAGAACCAAAATGCTCCAGAGAATTTAAAATTTAATATGTGCTTTCAGACCTTTATCTTCCCTTCACTGAGCATGTGGGCATTCTAGATAGTAAATATCAACACTCTAGCCAACTGGGCTAGCTACCCTCAATTATGAGTATATAATACAGAGCTAGCTGACTGTGTTCATTAATTTCCTTCTTCAGTGATTCAGCAAATATTTATTAAGCATTTATCATGAACTTGACACAGACCCAGGCAATGAGGATTCACAAAGAAAATGGAGAATTTTTGCTCAAGAAGATTATGGTCTAATGTAGAAAACACCTATAATATAAATTGGGAAACAAGCTATGAATGAACATAAATGATTGTAAGGAGGCACCAATTAGGTAATGGGTCAAAGACGATTTCTCTGAGAAAGTGCCGCTTAAGCTAAACTTTGAGATTCAAATAAAACCAGACATTAGCTGGATAAAGAGTGGAGGAGAGTATCTAGACAGAGTAAAAGCATGTGTATATGAAGGCCCCAGGGTAGGAAGAATCTTCATACCTTCAGGACTGAAAGATATCAGTTTTGACTGGAGTTTACAGACAGGATACTGAATGACATGAAATGATACTGTCAGGGTGAACAGGGGCCAAATCATGTTCAGCTTTGTTGACCATATTTGCAGATTTGTTATTTTATTCCAAGTGCAATGGGAAGTTCTTG